ATGATTCCATGATTTTATAAAAAATTAGCTTGTGCCAGGAAGATTGGGAAGATGGGATTGAGATGGTATTTGTGTTGCCCATACTTTAAAGATACTAGGATTCTTAGAGGCCTTTGTAGGGAAAAATGTACAGATCAGGTATATAATTATATAAATGGTCAAACCACTCAAGTGTATTGTTGTAGGATAAATCAAATTGCAGCTTAGGCAAAGACCAGCTTGTTTCTTAGTTTGCAGTTGAAATAGAATTATTAGTGGTTGATGGAAAGGTGTAAGTAAAACAGGAAACACAGGTGTGCCAGTTAAATTATTGCAGCCTCCAATGAAATAGAAAGTCAATGCATTTGCTCTGCATGTGCACTACCCCACGTGCAGTTGCTGCTTCAGTGGCAATGTGTGGTTCTGCACAGATTATTTTTCACTGTCCCATGTGGCCTTGGCTTGTTATAACCCTTATATCTCGGGAGTACTTTGTGTTCCAAATTACAGGAAAAATCTGAAGAACCCTGTGTACGTTTTAAATCCGTTTAATTTACCTGTTCCAAAGGAGTTCTGGTAAAAAGAGTTGTGGTTTCCTCCCTTGCCTTGCAGTGAAGATTCCTCTTTTCTGCCCAAAGTTATGCTAAGCCAGAGCCCAGCATGATTAATACTCGCTCCTCCAGCCTGCTGGATCAGATTACTTTTAGAAGGAGTATTTGTGGAGATGGATAATCCCCATATCCTCACGAAACATGCACGTTTATTTATAGGCTTAGGAGCCAGAAAACGCCTGATTTTTCTGGAGTTGTTATTTGGGGACAGGTCATGGCTGGTTTTGAGCAGGGTAATGATGGAGACACCTGATTTATAAACACTCTTAACTGCTTTTAAGATAGAAATACTGCAAATAGATGTGCTGTAGGCCTCCTGCAGAGTGATTTTAACTCAGTTCTTTGCTATGACATGTGTAATACCTCGGTGGCTTCTCCAGTCCTCAGAAGTTCAGCCTTGCCAAAACAGTGCTTATAAAATCATCCTGCCATGCAAAACTCTGTTTTATATAGGTGTTACTTAAAATATTTCTGGAATTGCGGACATAAATTTACATGAATTTTCATACTTTGGTGTCAGATATTTATTGTAGCAGTTACATTTTTCAAAGGGGTAGTGAGCTAACTAATTTCCTCTCCCTCCTTTGGGGACTCTAAAAAGAATTTCAAAGGCGTACTTGTTCTTGAGAACAAGTTGAAATTGTTCTAAAATTGAAAAGCCTAAACTTAGTGTGTGATGTAAAAGCGAAAACTGGAGAGTGGAAGGTCTTGTCTATATTAGGGACTTTTAAAAAGGTATTTGCTGACGTTGATTATATGAAAAGTATTTGGCTTCTGAAAATATCTCCTGCAATCAGCAGGCGGTTTATGGTTGATCTTTGTTCTTCAGATGTACTAAGAGCATTTCACTTTGGGTGTTTAGGTTGTCTCTTGTTTTAGCAACTTGTCCTAAAGCACCTCCCCATTGAGTGCAGTTCACCAGCTGGGGTTGTCAGTGCCCTGGGCATGAACCACGTTGCCAAATTTGTTTGGCATCTTGTATGTGTGTGTGAGGGAATAACGAGAGACCGTCACAGTTCTTGGATTAATCTTTTTTAGCTTTTGTTAAGAGTTTTGTTTTCTTTTTAAAATTCTTTTCCCTGCAAGAGCAAGGAAATACTGTTAGATTTCAGTTAAAAGCTGAATTTAAAAGAAATAGTGTAATTCAAAGCTAAGTTTAAAATAAACAGTGTAATTTTGGTGGCAGCTTAGTAAATCAGCTGCTGGCCGTTGCCTTGAACATGATTCTATCATACTAGTGTGGAAAGAACGAAAATATGAAGAATTCACATGAGATCATAATCTCAAATACTTGTTACTTGATAACAACCATTTTCCATGGTAAGAAAAGCTGTGTCAGGTCAGACAGTCCTGCTTGGTTTTGTGTCCAGGCCGTGGCTGGAGACAGGAACAGATGCACAGAGAAGGGAATGAGAGATTTTTCATCTTTGGGAGGGCAAGATGAGGAAACATCCAAGGCACAATGAATGCCGTGTGATTATGGTAATAGGGCACACACGATTATTTAATGAATGTTTCTTTTCAGCGTCGCCCCTAATTCCCATTGTGAATCCCGTGTTGCTTGTCTGGCTGAAGTGTGTGGGACCTACAACTGTCTGTCTTCTGGACACTCAGACACTGGGCTGGAGGAGACGTTTTAATGTGCTCTGATCAAGTGCTCAGCATCAAGGGGTACACGCAGAGAGATCTCAACACGATACAACTTTTAAAGGAGGTGGTTTTGTTATATCATTCATAAAGGCGTTCTCACCTCAAAGAGAAGGCAGAATCTGTCTGCTTTATGAAGAATTAATACAGTTTTCTTGCAGCTTCCTGGGATGAAGAAGTCCTGTTGTGGCTGAAAAGCAGGATGGATTTTCTGTTTTCCTTTTGTTGGTATACACTAAATTTTTCCCGTTAAAAAAACAACCCAATAGCAATACAAGAGTGAGGGAGGAAGGAGTGGAAGAGAAGCCGTGGTGCTTGGCAGCAGTTCTGAGGAGAGCAGGAGCTTCAGGGAGGGCTCACCAGTGCAGTCGAATGGCTCAGTTATTTCATGTTATTTGTACAGGAAAGCAGGTTTTTGCTGGTTCTGAATGTGAAGTCCTTTGTTAGGGAAGATGGGTTTGGAGGTCTTTGAGGGATGAAAATGCTGTGGTCCTTATCCTTTTTCTCCTCTCCTGTCTCTCCACCTCTGCTCCCTGCCAGAAAGTTTAAAAAAAAAAAAAAAAAGAAATCAAACTGAGGGGAATAGTTTGCTTGAAGTGGGGAGGTGGATTTTTTTACTTCAACAAATTTGCCTTTGGTAAAACACCTCCCCTCACGGGACCATCCTTTCTCTTCCCACATAGCCCCTGGGGGGACACCCCTCTTGCATACAGAAGGACCTGTCCCTTTTGCTCATTCCATCTCTTAAATTCCAAAATGTTGTGTCTGTAATAAAAATACTGTAAGTAAAGAGATTGCTTAATGAAACTGTTTAGCTTGGTCGGTGTGGTAGACACGTGTAACTGGTTGGAGAAGCAGGATCTGTCTCCTGCCCTCTCTGGGTCACATTCCCTGCCTTCTGTTAAAAAAAGTGAAAACCTCAATAATTGAAGTTCCCCCCAGCAAAATTCCTTATCCCAAACCTACATGGCACAACCAGATGGAAACCCAGTAATTAAGAAAAGAAAATGTATGAAGAAAAAGGCCTCTCCTGTTGACATGGTTGCTTTTTAATTGGGTGTGTTCCATGAAAAAACACTAAATGTTTTTCCCCTAAATCAAGAAAAGGCTTTACAGTTATTTTAGGGAGCAACAATTCTTTCTCTTGGGCACACCAAGAACACCGCCAGCATCTCAAAGAAATGAGTTTTTTAGAGAAACCTTGGGCAAAAACCTGACCATAAAGAACTTTGTTGAAGATCCCAGGCCTGGTATGGACAGTGTGCGTCCTCCTGGGGGGTTAAACCCCACGGGGGCTTCAGACATCTCCTAATGAGCTCTTTAGTGTTATTAAATAATGTAGATATGTAAAACCATGAAATATTGCATCTGTTCTCCTCGCTCCATTTTCGGAGGACGCTCCCAGACGCAGCACGGATGACGCGTGTTCCTTTTAGACTTAAGCTGATCTGTAGTTTGAAAAGATGCCTTTTTTATTTTAATTTATTTTAACTTCGAGTTTTCGCCCCGGAAGCCAGGAGAAGAGCTGATATCATTCCAGAATTGACTGCTACAGCTTTAAGATAAGGTGCCGGGCGCTCTCGGCGCACACACAGCGGCTCCTCCCGTTCGCTCCTTTTTTTCCCCCTTTCTCATGCTGAAAATACCATATTCGCCATACGAGATTTTTTTTTTATTATTATTTCTCTTTTTTTTTTTTTTCTTACATCCCCCCCCTTCTCCCCTCCTCCTTCCTTCTCCGAAATCCACCAAAACTGAAGAAAAATCCAAGTGACTGTTCTTAGCAGCTGTGTGGCCCGGAGTTCAGTGGGGAAGCGGCTTCCTGCCGTCCCTATTCATCACCTGCTTCAAAGGCGGGCTGGCCGCTCCAGTGTGCAGGCCAGGTAGGGTGCCATTGTGCGCAGGCGGGAGGATTAGTATCAAAGCTGCGGCAACCAGGCCCTTGGTCTCGGGCTGCCATTCAGGCAAGCGGGGAGAGGCAAAGAGTGGCCAAGGTCACAGCATCCAGTGTGGTGCGGACTGGGAACGGATCCTGAGAATAGAGGGCTTCTTATGAAATCGTGGTGCAAGCTTGCGGCACAGCAGGTGCCCTTCTGGAACACATACATCTGTTTATGTTGGGATAGCGTAGCTGACAACGGGATAATAGAGCTTTGTTTTGTTTTTTTTTTTTTAATATAATTTTCTTGCCTTTTTTTTTTTCTTTCCTCGATTTAAAAAAAAAAAAAAGCCAACTCCATGCGCCAGCGTTGAGGAATATCGCAAGGAAGAGCGTTCGCTTTGGAAATCATAAAGAAATCTTGCAAAGCTTTAATTGCTGGGGTGGGGGGTTGTGTGTGTATATACTTAAGCGAAGGGGCGAGCAGGCTGCCTATTAACCATTTAGGATCCTCAGCCCTGCTGAGGAGCAGCAGCGGGATACGGGGGCACCCGACACACAATGCGACAATGCCTTCTTTTTTTTTTCTTTTTTTTTTTTTTTTATATATATATATATAATTTTTTTTTCCTTTGGTCCGCTCCGACATTTGTACCAACAAATTGGTTAAGGATGCGCTGGATTTGCTCGGTTGTCTCCATTGTTGGGATTGTCTGGAGGAATTCTGTCACGCTAACGGTGGCTTTTTAAAAGGTGAGGTAATAGTGACGTAAAAATAAAATTGCCAACTTGATGAAATTATGGGGGGAAATTAAGCTGTGGACGAGTTGTCATGACGACAAGGATGTTCTATTGATGAACTGTACTCCTCCCTGTCCAATCAGATAGTGGAGCTGAAGCTGGAGCATGAACAGGAGAAGACGCACCTATTCCAGCAGCACAACGCAGTGCAGGACTGCCTGGTCCGAGACCATCAACGGGAGATCGAGAAGCTGGAGAAGCAGCTTCGCGCTGCCATGGCAGAGCACGAGAGCCAAAGTCGAGAAAGCAGGAAGCGAGACGGCCAGGTAACGATCGATAACGATTGAAAGGCGGGCGCTTATTAGAAATTGCTGATAACGAGTGTTTCCTGTTTGCCAGCATTGTTGGAGGTGCACGCCGGGGGAGCGTTTGCGAAACTGGCACATAAACGTGATTTCGTTTTTCCTTTATTTCTTTTTTTCCCCCTTTTTATTTTTTTTTTTCCGCTTTCTCCCCCCTCCCTTCCCAGTGCTGAATAGGGCTTTAACTGCAAAAACCACAGGTAGCCAGATTAAAAATCCCATGGTGCGCTATAACTCGGCCTATTTATAATCTTGTCTCATTTTCTTTCATGATGGATTTGTTTAAGAAAAAAAAGGTATCTGTTCTTTTCCACCCCCCCACCAGCCCTCACACTCACCCCTCCTTTTCTCCTTCCTGGGCAAATCCATATGAATTGTTATCTGCCTCGCTCGTGTGCTTTTTTTTGTTGTTGTTGTTTTAAATCTCTGCAGGTAACTCACAAATGGCTTTATTTCCTTTTGTTCGTGTCTTTTTGTTTCAGTTTTTGTATTCTAGATTTGCATTGTGCGTTTGGCTCCGTGTGTCGGATGTTTGATAAGATGATGTGGGGTTGGGGTCGCTTACCATCACATTTATTTTCCTACACGCACGCACCCCTCCCATCCTCCATCTCTGTGGTCACTGTTGGAAGCCATTTGGCAGAATAACCCCCAGCTGGGGTAGCATTTGACTCTTCAAACTTCTGGATGAAATGCACACTGTCAGCATGGAAAATGATCTTTATGAGTTTTCACTTCAAAAACCATCTTATTGCCTTTTTTCCCGTCTATTTTGTAAGGCTGGCATGGCATATTTTCCTAAGAGCCTTTATTAAAAAGGCCTGCAATGGCAATATTTAAAAAATGGAGGTGATTTTGCAGTTTGAAGAGTTTTTTTTAGAAAGTAATCTTTCCTAATCAGCGTTAGAATTGCTTATCACGCCTGGATTATTTTATACCAAAACTGGACATTTTGGTAAAGCATCTTTAACGACACACGTTTTCCGCGCACCACCACCTTCCCTAGGAGATCTTAGACTCGCACATTGAGACATTTTCACTCTACTTTCCTGTAGACTGGTAGGCTGTGGCTTTTACTGGCAACTGGAATGTAGCTGAGTGACACTGAATTCAAATTGAATACTTACTTCTTAAATCAGTTGGGTTCTTTTTTTACTTTGGATGCCCTCAGACTATCGAAATCTGGCTTAAACAACTCTATTAACAAGCAAACGGCTTCTTTGGGGAGGACGAGGGATATATTGCACAGCCAGGACTTATTTCTCCATTTCCACCATTATGGTTTTCCAATGAAAACGTGATATACTTGTGTGAGAACGCTTGGGAAGAGCTTATTCAGGTGGCTTGGGAAGAAATTAAACCTTGCCTTTCGTTCTCCCCTGTATTGTGAGAGCGAACAAAGACTTAAATCGTTCGAGGGGTTGGTTTTTATCTTTGCAAGTTTTTATTTTGGCCCAAGATAGATGAATCTCAACTACGGAGCCGTTTGCTTTTCAGAGTTGTATCCTCTTCCCACCTGCATTCCTGCTGTTGTGGTTACCTACAAAGGCAGAGCTGGAGCTCCCAGGTTTAAAAACCCCACAGTTTTAGAACGATACAGAATTATCCTGTCTACACGCCAGTGTTGATCAGAGTTATTTATTGCTCTGTACAATGCCGAACACAAGGGAAAGGGACTCTTTTAAGTGAATTCTGAGAACTGGGAGGTGTCTGTAAGTACATCTCTGTTTTGTTCTGTTGTGGATCGTTTCTGGCAAAGACTGGAGCCCAAAGTTTGGGTGTGCTTTCTGTTTGCAGTGGGATCCATGATCCTACTACAGGTGCTCTGTGGAAAGCTGGGAATTAACGCAGCTCTTGGGAGAATCTGAACAGTCTGAAAAGCACAGTTTGGCCTTTTTGTAGGGCTTTTCTTTGTAGCTTGAATATCCCTGTACAGTCATTTGAACATTGCTGCCATGAGAATGGCATGTAAATCAGGGAGGAAAGTGCAGTTGCTTTGAGTAGAAGAGCTGTTGTTTGTTTAAATTCTAGTGAGACTCCCTCAGCTTTCAAGGACGCGGATTTTTCCATTTTGGAAATTAAATTGTTCTTCGTTCCTTCGCTCGGTCTTTGTGTTAGAATTCACCTCTGTCTTTGCAGTGAGCTCAAAAGACAAATGCTGGTGTTTCTTACGGAATTATGGCACATATTTTTAGTATTTTTTTGTTTAAATCTTTACCCATGTTTACTAAAATGCACGTTTCGGACATCGAATGTGACTAACGGCCGATGTCCTTTAGGAAACGTCGGACAGACTCTTCCCAAAGATAACCCAGTGATTTAAGGGTTATTTGACAATGGTGCATTTGAAAAACCTGTTAAATTTGAACCATATTTGACAGCAGCAGTCTCCAGGAGTGCTTTGTATCCCAGCGAAGGTGAGATGAAATGGGAGAGGAGGCCATTTTGCTTCGCGGGATGAGAAGTGGATTTGCTGGGTGATTGGAAAAATTTAAATAATAATTAGTGTTAATCACAAACGAGTAGCTTGGTTTGAAGGACCTATCTGCTCAGGGTTGGATGAATGATGTGAAAGCACTGCTGTTAAAGGTATTCACTGGTTGTCTTTCTTAAATCCTTTTCCATATGAAAGAGGAGCGAATACGTATTTCTTAATGTACGTGTTTAAAATATGTATTTGTCACTATGCTCCTGAAGACAGTTATGGCTGAATCCTGCAGATCAATTTATTCTACTGCTACGGGAAAGATTAATTTAATTTTTTTATTGCATGGCCAAGGTCTTTACTTTCACGTAGGTCTTCGGCTTCTGTGAAAGACAGTGTACAAAATGGTTAGATTTTATTCAAATATGAATACATTTATTAATGTTTCAGTCACAATTAGAGTATAAAACCTGAGATTTTGGTGCTTTGCCAGGTTTTAATTAAATGTGGAATAATGTTACTGCTTCTTTGAAATATAAGTTCAAAATATAAATTCTTTCAGGAAAAGAACTTGATTTAAGTGGATTGATTTTTGTGTTGCTGATGAATTTCTGGGTAACAGTTGCATTCCACTTTATCTTTTGCATTTCTCCATTTCTGGGAGGCTTGCTTTGATTTTTTTCACCTGGGGTTGTAATGCTTTGGGAGGAGTAAATTGACTTGTGGGTCAATAAAAGTCAAAGCAGTACAAAGGCTTTTATACCATGCTGTGTTCTTGTAGGCTTTTGAATCTTATACTTTTTCTAGGAGCTGCCATAATATTGTTGTTCTTTAAACAGTAGCTAATCACACAGGGTTGTTTTTTTAAAAGGGTAGTTTTGAATCAGTACTTTAATTTAGATTTAATATTTTCTGGCTTTTCTTTAGGAGCATTCTTAAACCACGCTTTGCTTGGTCGTTTGTTTCCCACCTCCCTAAATAATTTTAAATAAACATTAATACACAAGACAGGGAACTCCGTGGATGACAGAGATCTTCCTTTGTTTCTATAAAAGCAATCTTGCTATTGAGTTGGTGGTTTTGTGAAGCAAAACTCCTCATTACAGAGAAGAATCCATCCATTTTGCTTCTGCGAAATTAGATGGCAGGGTTAGGAAATCTTAATAACCGAAGCAGAGGGGCTGAGGTGCCGGTTGTGCCCTTGTATTTCCCCTTTATCCTTTGAATGTCATTCTCTCCCCCTCTGACACGTGTCCTCAACCAGCTCAAAGATTTCCATGTTCCAGCAGCTGTGCAGAGTTGGATCATTTTCGTGCTTGTTCTTCAACCCGTTGACCTTTGGGCAAGAAGAAGAAGAAGAAATAAAATGTACCCCTGTAACTTCAAATGCGGCGCTTGGCACTAAAGGAGAGGAAAGAAAGTTTCCATGAGCAAGCTGAATTCTCTTCCCAGGTTCTGTTGGGAGATAATTGGCAAGCCCAGTGTGTTCATCCAGTCGTAATTGGGTCAAGAGTAGCTCGAATGCTCGGGCGCGTTTTGCCCGCGCGTGTCATTGATGTGCCGGTGTTTAATTCTGATAGACAGTGTTTGTGCTCTCAAAAATGAGGCTGCTGTAAGAGGAGATCACTGCTTTTTGGGGGTTTCTTTGGGCTCTTGATAAACCATTATTGGTTGGGAAAGGAAAATCTTGAGCAGTTCTGAAGCCAGGTGAGCATGCACGTTGAGAATGGAGGTGGTAAGAAGAGTTAAGAAGGAATCATCCTGTACCTGCAGTACCTGTTTCCTTTTTCCTCTCTTGATTTTTGCACTTCCCATAATCCTCTTGGCCTTTACCATCCTGGTTCACTTTACCTGCTCAGAAATCAGCAGCTCCTTCCCTGGTGCCCCAGGTAGAGCACAACTCATCACTTCTTTCCTGGCTTCTCCTCTTAGAAAAGTTGCTTCTTTGCACTTGGAATCAACCATCTCTCTGCAACTGGTGCTTTGCACCTGGTTTTGTCTGAATTAGTTCTGAACTGCTTGAGCCAGTTGAGTTAACAATAAAATAAAAAACTAGTAATGTTCACTATCTTCATTCCAGCCATGATAGTTATTTTCATTTCAGCAGGTTCTTGGTAGATGTTTATGGTTCTGTGTAGATAATTAATTCATCAACAAAGTGGGAGGAACAGAAGGGATTTTTCTTGACTCTATATATGTAGTCAGGGTGGCTGTGCTGATCAGTGTGGCTGCTGCAGAGCTCTGCCAACTATTGACAAGTGAAAAAATTAATAGAGGTATTATATACTTCTTTAGTAATAACTGAATGCACATGCACAACATGCACAGTTTTAGTCTGAGTGTAAATATTGCTGTAACAGTGATTTTTCAGTACTCTATTAATATGAAGGATTTTGGGACCATTGTGATAGGAGGCTTTCTTCACCTTTTATCAGAAAGAACTTACTGTTCTTGATGTGTTACCTACAGATGAATCACTGAGCAACTCTTCTGCCTCATGTGATTGTTGTAATATCTCCAAACATCAGTTCCCACATGG